CCAGATCTAACCGTATTTTTCGCCTGCGGTCAGAAAATGGCCATCTGACTGCGTGCCCATTTTCGGAAGGCATGTGAAAACGGATATGAGGGCCAGTAGAAATGCACAACCCTAATGAGCATTGCTTAGACTTAGAGTATATATATTAAATCAGAAATTCAAATGAAGTGGCATTGCATATTTTAATAACATCAGCTTAACCATCCCTATACCTGCTACACCAGTCTGTCCACCTATCTGTTTATTTAATGTATGTCCCATCTTTCCTTCAGGCCCACTGTTCTGGCTGCTCCACTTTTCCAAGGGCATGCACACTGCCTGGGGACAGAGTGAGCAAGACCAAATCTGGGGTTGTCTCACTGTATCTTTACAATAATACTGGGAGATTCCAACCAATGTAAAATGCTAGTTAAAATACTGCACTGGGATATGGGAATTTCAAGTTCTAGTGCTCATTAAGCAACTGGGAGACATATGGCCAATCATGCACTCAGCCCCCATCTCTCTTTTTATATCACAAATTTGTTGATAGTGTCAAGTGGACAGAAGATTGTTATATGATACATTGAGCTCCTTGGAAGAACTATGTAAGCATAAGAACTAAACATGCCTTCAGTATTATACCACTTTGGCTCACATCCTATTTAATAGTAGCATCTTAGGAAAGGCCATAGTAACAGGGGGTTTATTGGGGGAGGGGGGTAAATGCAGGATTGTATTATTATTATTTTTCTTTTGAACAACAACTATTTCATGAACTAAAGAATTAACTACCATTTTTCTTGAAAGAGGGAAAAATTGAAACCACTTTTCAAAGCACTTGTTATTGATGCCTGGACAAAGTATACATGGCCCAGAAGACCTAATTTGATGAAAGAAGTTAAATTATCAAAGTGAAAAGATGAATACAATTGGAAAACAGGTTGAAATCCCTCCAAGATGATAAGTGAGCTCTTTTTTTATCTCTTCCTGCCCCGAAGATGTGTGGAGGTTTGAAGTACTGCCAGATTTCCTTCTGTTCAAATATAAACATAGAAAACTATTTATCTTTCTTGTCTTCTGCTTTCAGCTGATAGATAGCGGAGGACAGGGAGAAGAAAGTGAAAATACTAAAATGAATGGACTATTTATCTGTACAGATGTACATACACAATTTGATCTACCAGAAATTGGGCTAAAGGTGAGAGACAACAGAAATTTGTATTTGCACGATATCTAGAAGTCCACAAAAGAAAAGGAGACACATCTCAAGATTTTGTTTGCTAGGTTGTTCATGCGCTGGATTTATACTTTGCATTCTTACCAGAATGGTCACTTATTTGCTGAAAGGCCTGATATATATCACCCTGTAAATGATCTAAAGAGGTTCTTCAGGGACTTATACTAGCAAACACAAAAGGTCATAACGACGTGATAGCCAAAGAAGACCATAAGCATATCTATAGGCCAAAACATTGCCATCTTAACAAATAAAATATGTTTTTAATATGCTGACATGTTACTCCTTTTTTTCTTGTAGATTTATTATTTCTTGCAGAAGCATAATTAGTGGTTTGGCCAGAGGTATGAAGCCCTTCAAAAGTTAAACTTGAACTCCTATAATTCCTCTCATGTGGCTTCCATGTCAGGATTCTGCCAAATCTCCTCTGGATTATAATCTGAATTCTAACCTCAGAATAAATTCAGCATTTTTAAATTCAGACTAAAACCAAGAATGGGTTCACTCACTACAACTATTCCTTAGTCACTGGCTAAACCAGGCATGGGCAAACTTCGGGCCTCCAGGTGTTTTGGACTTCAACTCCTACCATTCCTAATAGCCGTTTGAAGTCCAAAACACCGGGAGGACTGACGTTTGCCCATGCTTGGGCTAAACCTTTGAAGGATCACAGGTTTCCCACATAAGGCTAGGTCAATGGGCAAATAACATTGGGAAACCTCTGCTCGGCACGGACAACATTCCACTTTATTCTCTTTAATGTTTAACATCTGCATGAAACTTCTGAGACCCATTCTTTGGAGATCTAGGCTAGGATGTCCTCAGTACACTGATGCTGTTCATAGAGATTAGGAGGCCAGAGTAGAAGGAAACTTGGTGTGTGTTTGTGTGTGTGTGTGGGGGGGGGGATTGTAATGTCTTTTTTCGGAAGAATAAATGATGCAATGTTATCTTTCAGAAATCTGAAGAAAATATTTATCACAAGGGATTCATATATTCTCTCTCCCTACAATATTTTACATGATGTAGCAGGAGATAGTCATCTATGTGAGACCAGTATCTCACATTGTTGACATTTCCAGTGTTACTTTTCTTTTCTCAGCTCTTTTTATAGAAAGGGAGTGCTATAGATCTTGTTGGCATTATATAAAACAAGATTTTTTCCTAATCTTGATGGTTTATTTTGTTTTTAATGAGATTTTTTCTCTGCTTCTCAAATTGGGAAAGGGAAAGAGGTCCCTTATAGTAAAAAAAAATAACTATTTCCATTTGAAATAACTATTTGTAATATTAATTTGTAACTATTTCCAATAGAAACTATATTTTTAGGACATCAGACAAGCCAAACTAAATTATAGAAAGCGCATTTTATGTTCCTAAAGCCACAAAATAGCTTTCAAGGGGTGAAAATTGCTAGAAAAAAGAGGAAGAAACCAAATTTTCCCGCAAAATTCCTTGACATTTTACATACCTAGACATTTAGTTCTATCTCCTCATTTTCTCTGCACCAGAAGAGGCTGCACAGTGCTGCCCTGAAAGTAATGATGGGCTGGAGAAACCCTCCCAAAACCCATCCTAAAACAACCCAGGACCCTTCCAGACAGGGCCTATATACCAGGTTTTCTGTTTATCCCAGATTATCTGGCAGTGTGGACTCATACAATCCAGTTTAAAGCAGAAAACCTGGAATCAGATCCTGGAATACAGGGCCTGTCTGGCATGGCTCCCAGAAGCTGAATTCTCCTTTTAAATATGGTTCTGCTGCAGGTTAGCAAGTTCCCTATCAGGAATCAGTGCTCAATGCTCAAGTTCCAGAATTCAGAAGATGGACTGTTGTGGACAAAGCTGAACTTAAAAGAGTTTCTGTTTAACGTGTGGCTGTCCACATTTCAATAGTTCATGAGTGGAAGATTCTCTGCTATATATAATGTAGATATTCAGACTAAGTCATAAGTAATTAAAAACTGGGAGTAAATACAAAGTTGCAAATGTATTTATACATTTCATATGGCTAAATCCCAAGCTGTGTCCTTGGTTCACTTATTAAATTGTGCATGTCCTAGCTAGGATTGGTTGCTCCTTTTGAGCCCAAGGCTATTAACTTAAGTGGCCTTGATTCCTCCTCTCCTTCAAAAACACCCACGATTGTATCAGGGCCCTTGCACACAGCCATATAACCCTGAATATCAAGGCAGAGCAGATGATACCGCTTGGATGGCCGAAAGAGAGGAGGAGCTGAGGAGCCTTCTAATCAAGGTGAAAGAAGAAAGTGCAAAAGCTGGGTTGCAGCTAAACATAAAAAAACCCAAGATTATGGCAACCAGACTGATTGATAACTGGCGAATAGAGGGAGAAAACGTGGAAGTTGTGACAGACTTTGTATTTCTAGGTGCAAACATTACTGCAGACGCAGACTGCAGCCAGGAAATCAGAAGACGCTTACTTCTTGGGAGGAGAGCAATGTCCAGTCTCGATAAAATAGTGAAGAGTAGAGACATCACACTGGCAACGAAGATCCGCATAGTTAAAGCAATGGTATTCCCCATAGTCATCTACGGATGTGAGAGCTGGACCATAAAGAAGGCTGAGCGAAGGAAGATCGATGCTTTTGAACTGTGGTGTTGGAGGAAAGTTCTGAGAGTGCCTTGGACTGCGAGAAGATCCAACCAGTCCATACTTCAGAAAATAAAGCCTGACTGCTCATTGGAGGGAAGGATAGTAGAGGCAAAGATGAAGTATTTTGGCCACATCATGAGAAGACAGGAAAGCTTAGAGAAGACAATGATGTTTGGGAAAATGGAAGGAAAAAGGAAGAGGGGCCGACCAAGGGCAAGATGGATGGATGGTATCCTTGAAGTGACTGGCTTGACCTTGAAGGAGCTGGGGGTGGTGACGGCTGACAGGGAGCTCTGGCGTGGACTGGTCCATGAGGTCAAGAAGAGTCGGAAAGCAACTGAACGAATGAACAGCAAGATCAAGGCAGAAAATCCCACAATATCTGCTTTGAACTGGGTTATCTGAGGTCAAAATGGATGGATGGCATCCTTGAAGTGACTGGACTGACCTTGAAGGAGCTGGGGGTGGTGACGGCCGACAGGGAGCTCTGGCGTGGGCTGGTCCATGAGGTCACGAAGAGTCGGAGACGACTGAACAAATGAACAACATCTGAGACCCCTTCCACACATCTGTGTAAAATCCACACTGAACTGGATTATATGGCAGTGTGGACTATCTGTTTTATTTGGGGTTGTGATGTTGTGCTTTCTGTGTCATGTATTTTCTGTTGTTGTAACCACTGTTTGCCACTTTGAATCCCACCCATGGGAGAAAAGCAGGATTAAAATAAAGAAATAATAACAATAATAATACTCTACTGTTTTGTAGCGCCAGGAGCCCAATTCCCACGCTGGTCAGGCGCTGCTGGGAGTTGTAGTCCATAAAGAACTTCGCCAAAGCTGTGGGAAGTTCAACCTGTGCCTTCAGGACGTTTCTGTTTCAAGAAGAAAAGCGAGAAGAATCACAAAATTCTGGGGAATTCTGGGGTTTAGAGAAGAGCCCTTTAAAAGCTCAGCTAGAGATGTCCTGGGTCTCACTCAACTACAAGTCCCAGAATTCTGCAGGAAGAAAGTCTCCCAGAGCTGACTGAAGCAACCCAAAAGCGCGCCACAGCTTCAGGCGGCTCTACTGCGCGTGCTCAAGAGTCATCCCATTGCGCATGCGTATTTGCTGTCCAAAGAGGGGTTCGGCGCCGAGCTCGCTCCTCCACTCGCCCCGCCTCCTCGCGCCGTCCCTTCATGGCGGCCTCTTTCTCCGCGAGACTCCTGCTACGCTGCTCTCGTGCGCGCCTCGCGCCGCCGCTCTAGGCCCCTCAGGGGCGAGGAGAGGGAGGGCGCCCAAGATGGCCGCCCCGCCGCCGGGCCTCCTGTTGTTGCTGCTGCTCCTGGCGCTGGGGGAGGGCGGCCCGGGGCTGCCTCTCGGCTGCAAGCAGGACGGCCCCGGAGGGCGGCCCCGGAGCGGCAAGGCGGGCCCTCTGCCCCCCAGCGAAGCAGGAGGAGGAGGAGGAAAGGTGGTCTGCAGCAGCCTGGACTTGGCCCAAGTCCTGGCCCCCGGATCCCTGCCCAACGGGACGGTCGCCCTGTGAGTACAGACCCCCTCCCCTCACTCCCTCATCTTGGGAGAAGGAGCCCCGTCGAAAAGGATGGAGGGGCGGGTAGGGGTATGGGCCGCCACCCTCCGAGGATTTTGTTTACACACGGAATGCAGGGCTTGGGGTCAGAAAGGTTTGGTGGTTGCATTTACAGGCAAACACCCGACTAACAAACAATGACTACTTACAAACAGGGCTGAAAAGGCAGGAAGTGAAAGAAATCTACTCCTCGGAAGGGAAATTAACTCCTCTGTAATAGATGAGCTTTATTGTCACTGTTCTATTGCGCGATGAAATTGCACACACACACACACACACACAACAAAACAACACACCCATCCCAAAAGCATCACCACTTCTGCACAGCGAAACATTGGTTGCATTCTTGGGGGATCCATCTCACCTGGCATATTTTTATTATTATTATTGCTATCCGGCAGATGGTATAGGGTGACAATGACAAGGACAAACAGACTGAAGGATCGCTTTTATCATAGAACTATAACTATCCTTCAGTCTGTTTGCCAGGAGCCACCAGTGGTGCAGTGGGTTAAACCCCTGTGCCGGCAGGACTGAAGACCAACAGGTCGCAGGTTCGAATCTGGGGAGAGGCGGATGAGCTCCCTCTATCAGCTCCAGCTCCTCATGCGGGGACATGAGAGAAGCCTCCCACAAGGATGATAAATCATCAAATCATCTGGCCGTCCCCTGGGCAACGTCCTTGCAGATGGCCAATTCTCTCACACCAGAAGCGACTTGCAGTTTCTCAAGTCGCCCCTGACACGACAAAAAAAAAGTCTGTTTGCTCATGTCTTTATCACCCTGTACCATCTGACAGTAATTAAAAAAAAGAAAGTGCCAGGTGAGATGAATCCCCAAGAATTTTATTCATTTATTTATTTTGTACATTTGTACCCCATCATCCCCGAGGGGGGACTCAGGGCAGCCTCACAACAGGCACTCAGTGCCATCCACGTTCATAAAAATACCTTTAAAACAATTCATTAAAATAATACATTAATAAGACATTTGTTTAAAATCACACAGGTTTAAAATCCAAGTCCAGGTTAGTCCATTGTCATTCATTTCACTTGTTGCTTATTCTCAACTGCCCCCTCTATTGTTCAAACACTTGGTCCCTTAACCAGTTTTTGAGTTTCTTTCTAAAGGGGAGGGAGGTAGCCAATCAGATGTGGAACTCACCCACCACTAAGAAGGCCCTGTCTCCCACCAGTCGCATTTGCAATGATGTTAGGATCAAGAGCAGGGCCTCTACAGCTTCATAAACTTCGTAATGGTTCGTAACAGGAGATACATTCGGACGGGTAGTGTTCTAAGCTTTCTTAAGGCTTGTCAGGTATTTTGATATGGACAGTTGGCTAATCAATAAAACGTACTGTTCCTTCTGTTTCTCTACACACATCTAAATACCATAATATGAGATAAAGCATTATTAAAAGCATCTCTAGAAATTAAGATTGAATTACAATTACAATTAAAACTGCTTCCAACTCATTGCCGTGTTCCACATCCATTGCACTTAACCCATCTTAACCATTTTCTTCCTCAAAGGCTTCCTTCCAAAGCAAGGTTTTTATTTGTTTTCTATTTGTCCACCATCGAGAAGGCTCTCTCGCTTCCACCAGCCGCACCTGAGATGGGGGTGGGATTGAGAGTAGGGCCTCCTCAGCCGATCGTAGGGCTCAGACAGGCTCATATCAGGACATCTCCTGATCTGACCCATCGGTCAGATAGTCAAGTTGGGCCTGAAGAGTTCAGGGCTTTAAAGGCTAAAATCAGCATCTTGGAATTGCCCAGCAGCACACTGGTAGCCAGTGGAGTTGCCACATGAGGATTGACTATTCTCTATATGGCGCTCCAGTAAGCAGCCTAGGCACAGATCTTTGGATCTTCTAAACGGTCTTCAAGGGCAGCCCTATGTAAAGTGCATTACAGTTATCCAGTCTGGATGTGACAAAGGCATGGATCACCGTGGTCGTCTGCCAGATGGCAATAATTCAGAAAAAGAATATGAAGAGTGACAAGGATCTCCAAGATGGCTATGACTTTTATTAAGGCAGCTGCAGTTATCAAGTTCTACCAATGAGGGGAGAGGGCAACCAATGATTCACTGTGCAGAAGTGTGACCCTTTTAGAGAGAGCACCTTCCTCTCTATTTAGAGCAGTGGGTCTCAATCTGTGGGTCCCTAAGTACTTTGGCCTACAACTCCCAGAAATCTCAGCTAGTTTACCAGCTGTTAGGATTTCTGGGAATTGAAGGCCAAAACATCTGGGGACCCACAGGTTGAGAACCACTGATTTAGAGGCACAACTAAAGGAGTAATCCAGGCTCAACAAGGAGCACATTTTAACACTTTAAAGGCAGGAAAGGAGGGGAGGGAGGGAAGGATGGCACTGGTATCGTGAAAGGTGATCCCAGGAGCAGACTCCAGAACTTCAAAGATCCAGGCCTTACTGAAATGTCTTTTTTAAACCCAGAAGAAACCAGAATTTCCAGGTTTATTCCAAGTTAAGCTGCGTTGTTCTTTAGTGTCATTTCAATGCCTCGTGATAGAATAGAAAAACTTTGTTGACATTGTACGTTGTACAATAAAATTAAGTGCTTTCCCCAACATACATCACAAAAACAACATACCCATCCCTCCACATTCCTGCCACCACTACACAGCCCCCAATGACACATTAATGCGAAACCACAGAGTTCAGTATAGTTACAGTTCTATGATAAAAGCTATCCTTCAGTCAGTTTGTCCTTGTCTTTGCCACCCTGTACCATCTGCAAGATGGCAATAATTAAAAAAAATATGCTGGGTGCTCTGAGCTTTCTTAAGGCAGTGGAAATAATAAAGTTTTTTCCAACAAGAGGAGAGGACAACCAATGATTCGCTGTGCAGATGTGGTGACCCTTTGGATCACCTTCCTGTCTGCCACTGTGTAGCTACCAAACCATGTGCGGATGCAGTAGGTTAGGAAACTGTCTTACTTAGGCGATCCCTCGTAGTCCAAGGATGATGGTCCTCCAAGAGTGGTATCCTGGGGGTGGTTCCGTAGGTGGTTGTAGAGCCCTATTCTTGACCTGCATCTTCTGCAGTGAGGGCATCGGTTTCCAGATGGAAGGCGGTTCTGGTCGGGGTTGGCTTGACGCGCCTTCCTCTTGGCACATTTCTCTCTTTCGCCCTCCATTCGTGCCTCTTCAAATTCTGCAGCACTGCTGGTCACAACTGACCGCCAACTGGAGCGCTCAAGGGCATGGCTTCCCAGTTCTCAGTGTCTATGCCAGAGTTTTTAATTTTGGCTTTGAGCTCATCTTTAAATCTCTTTTCCTGTCCTCCAACATTCCATTTTCCATTCTTGAGTTCGGAATAGAGCAACTGCTTTGGGAGACGGTGGTCGGGCATCCGGACAACGTGGCCGGTCCAGCGGAGTTGATGGCGGAGGACCATCGCTTCAATGCTGGTGGTCTTTGCTTCTTCCATCATGCTGACATTTGTCTGCCTGTCTTCCCAAGAGATTTGCAGGATTTTCCGGAGGCAGCGCTGATGGGATCATTCCAGGAGTTGCATGTGACGTCTGTAGACTGTCCACGTTTCTCAAGCATATAGCAGGGTTGGGAGGACAATAGCTTTATAAACAAGCACCTTGGACTCCCTACGGATGTCCCGGTCCTCAAACACTCTCTGCTTCATTTGGAAAAATGCTGCACTCGCAGAGCTCAGGCGGTGTTTTATTTCTGTGTCAATGTTGACTTTTGTGGAGAGGTGGCTGCCAAGGTAGCGGAAATGGTCAAGATTTTCTAATGTTACACCATTAAGCTGTATTTCTGGCATTGGAGAGGGATTGGCCGGTGACTGCTGGAAGAGCACTTTGGTTTTCTCGATGTTTAATGACAGGTCAAGCTTCTCGTATGCTTCTGCAAAGGTGTTTAGAGTGGCTTGTAGGTCTTCTGAATGCGCACAGATGACTTTGTCATCAGCATACTCGAGTACTATAACAAAGGTTGTTGTAACCTTGGTTTGGCTTTCAGTCTACTGAGGTTGAATAGCTTGCCACCTATCCGATAGATGATTTCCACTCCGGTGGGAAGCTTCCTGTCAACAAGATGAAGTATCATAGCGATGAAGATGGAAAATAAGGTTGGGGCAATAACACATCCCTGTTTGACACCTGATTCCACCTTAAATGGGTCACTTTGGGAGCCATTGGACACTCCCTATTGCACAGTGGTAGAAAATCACCAACAGTTTTTCATTCAGTTGGTGGTTCCTTAGGAATCCCAGGTCATACAGTTGCTGCTGAGCCGTCTTGGCCAGTGCTGCTGTATGAACATCCCAGGTCAGATCCTCCTTGACAGTGACACCAAGGAACTTAAAACTTGCTACCTGCTCCACTTGGTCCCCATTTATAAACAAGGGTTGAATTTCTGGTTTGTTCTTCCAGTAATCCACTATGATCTCCTTGGTCTTATTGAGGTTAAGAACCAAATTATTGTGGTTGGACCACCAGAGCAGCCGATCCACCTCATTCCGATACGCAGACTTATCCCCTTCAGAGATAAGCCACACCACGGTTGTATTATCTGCAAATTTGGTAATGATATTGCTATGGTGAACAAAGGTACAATCATATATGTACAACATGAAAAGAGTTATCACAGGGGAAAGGTGCCTCCATTGAAGCTGTATCACCAATCCTTGATTCCACAACAAGCCAAATGTTCCAAAATCCAATTATCAGTGACAGAAAGTGAGGTGAAATCTTCTGAACAGGGACACAGACAGCAAAAGAAACACCACAAGGTGTTAAACCCTTCCGTATGCTATCCAAAACTTACATGTATGTATGTGTATATATCTATCTATCTGGCTGGAGTTAAACATAAAAATGTACCTGTTTTGACTTAAATACAAATTCCACTTAAGAACAAAACTGCAGAACCTGTCTTGTTTGTAACTTGGGGACTGCCTGTATG